GTAACACCATTGTAACTTAGCAACAAGAATTAATAACTAATTAATAAGTTACTAAGTAACTGTGAATAAAATTAGTAACTTCCATTGGTGTGGCTTTTTATTGTGTCTTTTCAGTCTGGAGACTCCTGTCTTTTGGTTTTGGAAATATTCTTGGATTCTTTCTTTAATAATTTCCTTTTCTCTCTATCCTCTTTTCTCTCTTAGGGAACTCATAGTAGTCTGGTGGCTTCCTGGATTGATCTTCTGATTTTCTTTTCCTTTTTTTTTTTTCTTCCACTGTCCATCTCTTTGATTTGTGTTCTATTTTTCTGGAAGAATTCCTCAACTCTATCTTCTGATCTTTCTGTTAAAATTTTTATTTCAAAAAGTACTTTCTAATTCTCTGAATGCTTCTTTTTGGGGGAGTGGGGGTGAGGAAGATTAGCCCTGAGCTAACATCTGTTGCCAATACTCCTCTTTTTGCTGAGGAAGACTGGCCCTGGGCTAACATCCATGCCCATCTTCCTCTACCGTCCCCTTCCTTTTTATATGGGACACCACCACAGCATGGCTTGATAAGTGGTGCCTCGGTCTGCGCCTGGGATCCAAGGCTGCAAACCCTGGGCCGCTGCAGCAGAGCGTGCCGACTTAACCACTATGCCACTGGAGGGAATCACAAATGTTTCTTTTTTTTATTGCCTCTTGTTCTTGTCTCATAGGTACAATTCATTTCTTATCTCTTTGAGGGTAGTATAGTTTCTTCCGTTCCCCGTGAGCACTTTCTCTCTCTATTTTGCCTTTCACTTCAGAGACTTTCCCAAGTGTCTGGTGACGTTGTGATATTTAGGAGTGAGGCACTAAAACACCAGTCAGAAGTTCTGTGTGCGTGGTGGGCAGTAGCCTGAGTGGCCTCAATGGAGGGCAGTCAAATCGGGATTCAGCTGTCTTGCTACGAGGCCCCAAATGTCATTGTCAGTGGCTCTTTTCTCGGGGACTGCTCATTTATTTTCGAGACAGAGCCTTCACTTCCTGCCTGGGGGCTATTACCTGGAAGCAGTGACCTGTGAACCCAGAGTGGGAAGGGGCTGGGGAGGGACTCACGTCTACTGTGAAGACTTTCTCTTGGTTCTTTTTGGTTTCACTCAGATGCCTCATCCCTGTCACTTGGATTTGGTGCCTCTGAGTTGGAAGCCTCTCAGTTCAGTTTCCAGAAAATAAACTCCTGGTCTGTTAAGATCGGGGAGGGCTGGTCACTGGCTTGGAGCAAGAATAAGGGACAGAGGATGTAATTGCTCCTTATGCAGACTTTAAATTAATCCTCTTGGGTTTCTTTTTTCTCCCAATTTTTTTATTGTGGTAAAATAGACATAACATAAAATTTACCATCTTCACCATTTTTGAGTGTACAGTTAACTGGTACCAAGTACATTCATATTGTTGTGCAACCATCACCACCATCCATCTCCAGAACTCTTTTCACATTGAAAAACTGAAACTCTGTACTCATTAAACGCGTTCCATATTGAGTCTCTGTCTTGCATTCTTGGCACACCCAGCACGAACACGCAGGGACACTCGGGGTCTATGGTGGATTACCACTCCCACCCCGCCCACACCCCAGCCTTCAGAGATTCCCCACACCTCTAGCTCCCAACACTTTGCAGGGCTCTAAGGCAGGTGTTGGCAAACTTTTTCTGTAAAGGGCCAAATAATAAATATTTTAGGCTTTAGAGCTAACTACTCAACTCTGCTATTATGGCATGAAAGCAGCCAATGTGTAAACAAATGTGTGACTGCCCCAATAAAACTTTATCATCTAAATCTAGGTTGTGGATCAGATTTGGCCCGTAAACTGTAGCTTGCTGATCCCTGCAAGTCTAGGCTAAGAATCTGCTTGCTCCTTGTTGTAGAATGGTTTTTAGCTTTACCTGTTTGCTAAATCAGTCACCATAACCTCCATCTTACAAAATTTGTTGACATCTCTCCTCTACTGTTGTCTTCCACTCACTTTGTCCTTGTGGAATTTATAGCTTTTTCTTTCCTCTGTAGTTATTTTCATGGTGTTTTCAGTAGGGAGCTGAGATAAATGCATATGTTTGTTTGATCCTCCAATTTTATTTATTTTTTAATTTATTTTGGTGAGGAAGATTCACCCTGAGCTAATGTCTGTTGCCAATCTTCCTCTTTTTTTTTTTTTGCTTAAGGAAGATTAGCCCTGAGCTAACATCTATGCCAGTCTTCCTCTATTTTGTATGTGGGACGCTGCCACCGCATGGCTGACAAGTGGTGTAGGTCTGCACCCAGGATCCGAACCCGTGAACCCGGTGCGCCAAAGCGGAGCATGCAGAACTTAACTACTACACCACAGGGCTGGCTCCTAAGCCTTAACTTTTTAAACTTTTTATTTCAAAATAATTTCAAACTTAAAGTTGTTGCAAGAATAGTACAAAGAACTTCCATATACTCTTTACCTAGAGTTACTAATTGTTAACATTTTGCTTCATTTGCTTTATAATTCTCTCTTTCTCTCTACACACATATATATACTGAGCCATTTCAGATATGATGGTCCATTACTCCTTAAATACTTCGGTGTGTATTTTCTAAGATCAAAGATATTCACTTAGAAAAAATTCAATTCTCAAAATCAAGATATTTAACATTGCTGTAATACTATTATTTAATTTACAGACCTTCTTCAAATGTCCCCAGTAGTCCCAATAATATTCTTTGTAGAAACTGTTTCTGGTCCAGGATCTAGTTTAGAAAGGGCATTGCAATCAGTTTTCATGACTCTTTAGTCTCCTTTAATCAGGAACAGTTTCCCAGCCTTTCCTTATCTTTCAGGCCATCGACTTTTTTTTGACATTTTTGAAGAGTACAGGCCAGTTATTTTGTAAAATGTTACTTAATTGGGGGTTTTTCTGATATTTACTTATGATTAGATTCACATAATGCATTTTTGGCATAAAGAATATTTCCTTCCCTGTGAATCAGGAACGGATCTACAATTTTTATTCAAAACCTGCCCCCCTCACACATTATTTTTCATTCTACTGATGTACCTGGAAACTCTCCAGAAGTTTGTACAGAGAAACAGACTTTGTTCTGATTTTTTGAAAATATAATGTAGTCTAGGGGGCCGGCCTGGTGGCACAAGTGGTTAAGTGCGGGTGCTCCGCTGCAGTGGCCCAGGGTTCGCCAGTTCGGATCCCGGGCGTGCACTGACACAGCCCTTGTTGAGCCATGGTGTGGTGGCATCCCATATAAAGTAGAGGAAGATGGGCACGGATGTTAGCCCAGGGCCAGTGTTCCTCAGCAAAAAAAAATAAAAATAAAAAAATAAAAAAGAGGAGGATTGGCATTGGATGTTAGCTCAGGGCTGGTCCTCACACACACAAAAAATATATGTATATATAATGTAGTCTAAAGATCAAATTATACCCATTCTTTTCCTCCTTAAACCTTTCAACAGCTTTGACCAAAAGTGGTGAAAATCTGACCCTCTGAATTTTGCCCTGCTGAGTTGGACTCTGTGACTTATTTATTGGCTGCGTATATGTAGATTATACTTTGAAATATCTTGCACTATCTTTGATTTCATATTTAATGCTGGCTGGATGATCTAACTAAGGAGAGGAAGGATGATAGGATACAGGAGTGAAGTTACAACCTCACTGTAGTGTTTTTATATAAAAATAACAGCTTTTGCAAGATATAACTCACATACCATAAAATTCACCCTTTTAAAGTACAATTCAGTAGTTTTTAGCATATTCACAGAGTTATGGCAATGCAGCCATCACTGGTATCTAATTTTAGAATGTTTTCATTATCACTGCAGTTTTAACCGTAACAAATTTGAGTCCCCTGATGAAATGGCCGGGGGCAGAGCTTCTGTTTCAAAGATTTGAGGGCCGAGTGGGGGAATTTCCCAGATTGCTAGTTTGGAAGGCGTACAGAGATGCCAGAGACTGCAGGGGCGAGAGGAGGCTTTTGGAGGAGGGTGTAGACTTAAAGACAGGAAGGATCCCACATTCGGATGCAGGAGGGCATCCTGTGCAGGGTAGCGGCAGGAGCGAAGGCCTGGAGGTGGGAACGAGTCCAGCGTGCTTGCTGGCCAGAAACAGCCTCTCTTAACTGAAATGGTGGGTTCATGAGCCAGGGTGAGCAGCAAGGCTGGAGGCCAAGGGGGTGAACTTGATCCTGAAGCTGTATGCAGAGCCACAGTGGAAGCCTAACATCCCGCAGCAGGCCCTGCTCCTGGTCGCCTTGCTATGGTCCTCGGCTGAGATCTCGAGGATGCCGGTTGTTGAAATAAGTGCATCTCGGAGCACATGAAAGAGGTGTTGGAGGGGTGGGGAGAGAAGGACGAGCAATGACCCAGGTGACAGGGTAGGTTTGCTAAGGGATGCAGGTCTGGGGATTAACGCAGAAGTCACAAGAGCCCGGCATGCACTGGCCTGGGCACCGAGCTCCTTCGGAACCCGAGAGGATCCGCTAAGAGGCTACTCTCCAGGCGTTGAACTCGGCCTTGCAGTCCTGTCCTCACCCTGAAGACCTCTTTGAGGAGGCCCACTTTCATCCACACTGGTGCTGCTCAGACTTTGTGTTGAAAGACAAATTTGTTTTTAAATTTCCCAGTCTATCCCGGATCATGACATGTGGAAAACACAGTAACAATGAACTGCTAGAAGGATGAAATAGGAAGGACATACAAGCCGCAAGCTTGGGTTCTTTTGTTTTTAGCTTCAGCTGACAACGTTACTGTATCAGATTGATGTAAGGCAGGCTTCCTGAACTCCTGGGCTCCGTTTCTGTACTCGGTCCGCGGACCGCACTTTGAGTAGCTCTCCTCCAAAGCAGAGGCGGAGCCTTAGCGGAGGAAGAGACTGCCCCCGGGCGCTCAGGTAACGCGGGCGGGGCGGGACTGAACCTGGATGGGCCGGGCCGGGCCCGGGACCGCCCCGCTCGGAGCCTGGGTGGGGTCAGCGCCGGGCGGCCGGAGAGGAGCCGAGGAGGAGCGGGGGCGCCGGGGAGTCGGAAGGACCGCTCGCCTGCGGCCGCCGGAGCCAGGGAGCCGGGAGCCGACGATCGTAAGCGCCCGGGCGCGTGGTGCGCAGGTCCGGGGCCCGGGCGGCGGGGAGCGCGCTCCCGGGAGGCAGACGCGGATCGGGAAGCGCGGGCGGGGGGCGCGGGATGGGGGCCCGGTGGCCGCGGCTGGGGGACGTGCAGACAGGCCTCCGCTCACGCTTCTGGGGCCCGTCCCTCGCTCGCCACCCGCAGCTCCCTCCCGGCGCCGGGGACCTGGCGTGCCCGCGCCCTGCGCCCAGCCGCGCTCTGGCCTCCAAGTGCGCGCGGGTCGGGGCGCCGGAGGAGCGCAGCGGGGTCCCCGGGCCGGCTCTCCCGGAGCGTGTTGCTGCCAGGGCTGCCATGCACTTGTCACCAGAGCCCTAAACCCTCTCTCAGGTCCTTTCGTTGAAATGTGCTTTCTTGCCATCTCTGTCCGACGCCCCCTTGCCCTCCTGCTCGGCTGGGCGCACAGAAGAGGGAGCGTGGGCCTGGGGTTAAGACTTCACCGTGTAGTGGAAGCCACGGAGTGTGATCAGTCTGAGGAAGAGCGCAGCAGGGACCCGAGATTCAATCAGCCTCCCCCCCTGGCGGGGGCCCATTTACGGGAGAGCGGTGCAATAGAAGCTTCTGGCCCTCGCTTGCCCTGGCCCTTCCGAAGCCTTGCGCGGGGAGGGGGCGAGGGCAGGGCAGTGGCTCTAGCAGTGTTATAATCCTGATTTTGACTTCTTTTTCTTAAAGCTGCGTCCCTCCCCCACTCCCCTTCCCTCCACTGTATAAACCTCAGGCTTCACAGAGCCTGGATCCGCCCCCGGCTGGGCAGACACCGCTCCCCCTTCCCTGACACCTCTCTCTGCCCTGGCAGCTCTGTGCGGGCTCTGCAGGTGGAGTAGGAATGGGGGGTGAGGGGGACCTATGCGTCTGGCACTTCAACTCCTAGTGCAGCGCCTTGGCCTGGATTTATGAGCTGTTGTGGGAAATTGTTGAGGACATAGAGAATCATGCCTGTTTCTGTTCACTCTGCAGCCTCCTCTGAATTCAGCATAACTGAAAATAAACATTTGCAGGAAGCCAATTGCTCCAGAAAGTAGCTTGTCTTCTGGTGCCAGGCTTGCTTCCTTCAGGGAGTCAGGGCTTCGGGTTCCTTGTGGGGAACTTCCGCTGGCCCCACGGGGTCTGACTTAGCACCAAGCTCTGGCAGTGTTCAGCAAACAGCTGTTCTTTCTCAAATTCCCACACCAGGAAGGGCCATGTGAGGAAGTGTGGGCAGTGCTTAGGGACTGCCCTCTGCAGGGAACATGCCCTCGTGGGGTTTGCAGTTTTGTTGGGTGAAAAATGGACGATAAACAAAATAAGTTTGTAAAATATAAAGTCTGTTAGAAGAAGATGTGTGCCTTGGAGAAAAATAAAGCACAGAAGAGGGAAAGGGAGTGTCAGGTGACAGAAGAAGGCCACACTGAGAGGTGACGTTTGAATAATCCTGAGGAGTAAGGGAGAGGCAGGCTGCTGTCTGGGGCGGCAGTGCCGCGGGCTTCGGGCTTTGAGAAGAGCAGGTGCAGAGGCCCTGTGGCAGATGTGTGCCCAGCAGGGATGAGCTTTACATCCGTGTTTGCTGAGTGTGGGCCGAGCTGCCACCAGCGTCCTTGGTGTGAGTGACCTACTGGATAAACTGAACTGGCCCAGCCTGAGAGAAGAGGAGTCCAAACTTTCTGCTGCCTGCCCGCAATGGTCCCCCCGTTCCAGTTTCAGGAAAGGGAGGACTTCCATGGAAAATAACTGCTCAGCCAGGCAGCCTGGGTGAACCTCAGCACAACTGCTCCAACGCCCACATGCTCTCTGTGCCTCCCACCTGCCTCTCGGCTGTGCCTTAAGCACTCCAGCTGGTGTGGATTCATGGGAGGGGGCTGTCTGAATGAGGCTAGCAACTGAATGAGGGCTCTTTGGGTGGAGGGACCTTTAGAGAAAGGGTATCCGACCACTGGAGGAAGTGGAGTGCCTGCCCCCCTCTTCTCCTCTGGTGTCCTGGTTCATGTCTGACGTCCAAGTCCAGCACCAAGTGGGGCTCACAGGAAGCCCCATGTCACCAGTGCACAGTGCCCCTCCCACCCACACAAGAGCCCAGCAGGCCCCAGGCCTAGTGAGTGCTCACCTGGCACCTTGACTCTTCCCTTCCAGCATCCTGGCCTGGCCCAGACACGGGAAGGCAGGGGCTGCCCAGACTCCATTCTTTTTTGCTGAGGAAGATTCACCCTGAGCTAACATCTGTGTCAGTCATCCTCTATTTTGTATGTGGGTCATCGCCACAGCATGGCCACTGACGAGTGGTGTAGGTCTGTGCTCAGGAACCAAACCCGGGCCGCTGAAGCGGAGCGTGCTGAACTTAACCGCTAGGCCGTGGGGCTGGCTCCCTATTTCTTCATTCTTGAGCTGAGATACTCAAGGACGTGGAACACAGCTGGGCTTACAAGATCCGGGAGGGCTGAGTGTGGGCTGGTCACCGCTGCTGAAGAGATAGCCCAGGGCATACCACTGAGCTGGAGTGGGCACGGAGAGAGCGGGCCTGTGGTGGCGTCAGGGACCCCTAGGATCTCATACTCAAAACCCACCTCTGATAGGGCCCTACATCCCATCATTGGTGATTCAGTCCTTTGAGAGGCTATACAGTGATGCGGAAAGAGAACTGGCCCAGAAGGAAGACCCAGTTCATGTCCCCGCTCTGCCATTAAAATGTCCCCTCCCTGCACCTGATCTATAAAATGAGGAGGCTGGGCTCTCCAATCGGCAAGACTCCTCCCAGCTCTAGTATGTGATGTTCTGTGGTTAAGATCAGCAAAGGCATCTTCAGGAACCGTGGGTGGAGAGGGGTCAGTCTTGCCGGGGCCGGGGTGGGCCTGCAGGCCATGCCAGGTCCACTGAGGGCAGCTTCAAGTGCAGTCAGGGCCCTGGCCCAGGGTGTGGGGGGCAGAGCCTCAGACAGGTCAAGGGCCTGGAGTTGAGGCAGAAGGGTCACTGCCCAGCCTGGGTGGCCTCCTGGGGTCACTTGTGGGGGCTTCTTGGCCTAAGCTGGGCGCTTTAGGAGCAGAGTCTCCAGGGGGCTGTGTGGGTGAGGTGGGGACTTGCGGCAAGGACAAGGCACCCTAGTGGTTCCTCCAAGAGGGAAGCAAAGCTTTGCCAAGGCTCCAGCCACCCCCTTCCCTGAGGCGGGGCGGGGGAGTGGCGGGTGCTCCAGGAAGAGCTCCTCTCGCCAAGAAGAGCACAGGCAACCCTGCCCTTGGTTATGTAACTAAACACACAATGGTCCAAACCAGGGCAGCCTCTTCTGCCGTGAAAGTATATTTACTTTCTTAGGGGAGGTCGTAGTTTGTCCTTTCTCACCAGAGAGCAGCTGTTCTCACTCTCTGAAGTCTGGCCCAGAGCTTTCCTCCCAACGGCTCAAAGACCTGGAGTGGAGTCTTTGTGCCCACTGGACCCACTGTCTCTCTTTCCTTCTGTTGCCTGGCCAGTGGGCACTGTTCTCATAAGGAGCCAATTTCACGCACAGTCCGGCCGCTGCCAAGCCACACCTTTTAGGCTCTCCCAGGCCTAAGTAAAAGTGCTTCTATTAGGAAAGAAAATATTCTTCTCTCTGAGGAGTTCAAAGACTTTCCAGAAGGTTCTCTAGTTAACCCACAAACAGGGACCCCAGGCCTTGTCCTGGGTCAGGAGCAAAGGAGTTTTTGCTGCCTTTAGCGTTTGGGAAGATTGATAAACAGGCTGAGTTAAAATGTCCTCTTGGCACTTACCAGCTGGGACCACTCAAGCTACTTAGCCTTGCTGAGCTTCATTTTTTTTTTTTTTTTGCTGAGGAAGATTGGCCCTGAGCTAACATCTGTGCCCACCTTCCTCTATTTTGTATGTGGAACGCCGCCACAGCATGGCTGATAAGTGGTGTAGGTCCGCGCCTGGGATCCGAACCTGCAAACCCTGGGCCGCAAAAGTGGAGCACACGAACTTAACGACTACGCCACCAGGCTGGCTCCAGCCTTGCTAAGCTTCATTTTTAAATCTCTTTAAAACAGAAAAAACTACCCCAGACCTCTCAGTGTTATTGAGGTACAGGAGATGATGTGTTTAAGAGTCTTCCCACCCTCGTGTCACAGTCTGGGGCTTCTCTGGGCTTCCTCGCGGGAGGCTGTGGTGTCCAGACACATACCAATACTCTGGAAGGGTTCTGAGCATCCCCACCGTGGGCCTGTCCGGCTGGCTCTGGCCCAGCTGTGGCCTGCACCGTGAGCCTGGGAGGGCTGCGGGAGGCCCAGGTGCCGCCGAGAGGCCAGGGAGTGGGCCCTCCGCCCTTCCCCGAGGGCCACCACCTCAGGTTGTCCCCTGACAGCTCAGCCTGGGACTTGGCTTGCCCTGTGGGGTGAGCAACCTTTGCTACATTTCATGGTGACTCTCCAGTTGTACTCCAACCTTTTAGAAAGTAAGAGAAATCCTTTGGTCCCACTGTCAAGCCGCATGATGAGCCCTGTTGTGACCAGGGCTGTTCAGGGAAGAATGAGTCTCTCACCAGCTCTGTGTGGAAAAATGGATATACTTTCCTGCTTTCCTGGGTTTTTTGCCTGGGGCAGGACCTACTGGCTGGAGCACGTGGTCCCTGGCGGGAGGCAGGAGCTTGCCTGGCCAGCAGGTTCGGGAAGGCGCCTCCCTCCTGCAGAGGCATGGCTGTTCTCAGGATCTCCGGAATGCTCTGTGAAGCTGGACCATCTTGATTTCAGAGTCGCCCTCAGGACTGCTGATTGAACTCCAGTGGTACTTTTTAGCCTTTTGTGACTTTTTATTCCTTTTGGCAACCTAGATGTTGCCACAAGCAAACTCACTCCCACCAGGATAGCAACAACCCAGAACATTCCTCGGGACTCTGACCCTAGTCCTTAGGACTGCCCTGCCTGAAACACACGGGCCCTTCTGACAAGAATGCTGGCTCAGGTTACTCGGCCGGCCATGGCCAGCTAACAGCGCCATCCTGTTACACACAATTGAGGAA